GGGGGGGGGGGGCGGGGGGCGACGGGGCAAGGATCTAGAGAAAGCGTCGAAACTGGCGGCGGGCGTCTCGTGAAACGGAGGCAATTCCGTCCGCGAGAGGGCGCCTCGCCGAACGGATGGAGGCGCAAACGTGGCAAAACGGTAGAGAGGGATAGAGCGAGGCTGGAATGGGGTGGGCAGCCGGAAAAAGGAGGGAGAGAAGGTAACAAAGCCATCGAGGTGCGCGCAGGTGAAGCCGCCGTCTGCTCGACAGGCTGCCTTTACAACGCAACGAATGGCGCACGCACAACACATACGGGACTATAGGCTGCATACACAACGGCAACGGCAGCGGCAACTGCCGACACTGGCAATGATGGGGTCCGTAGAGCTTGCCGGCCGGTCGGCCAGCCGATCCGCTTGCTTGCCAGCCTGCGAGCCTGGCCTGCCTGCCTCAGTCAACCGAAGCGCGTCTCCGCGAATATACGCCGATAAGCACGCGCGCGCCCTACTACCTACACGTTCGCTTATTGTTTTTATCCGTGCGGCGTCGCGACGCAGTGATACGCTCTGGGATATAGAAATGCATTGCGACGCACGGTAGCAACTAGTGGTAAGAGACGTCAGCAAAGAGTTCAGCTTCTGTCTTGGGTCTTTGGTGGATTGACGTCAGTGGGAGTAACGTGATAGTAAAGGAGCTAAGAGAGAGAGAGAGAGAGAGAGAGAGGGGGTACTCTGACTGTCAGTGAGTGATACGCGTGTACGCATATAACGTTTACACGCATATATATATATATATATATATCCCCGGCATTGTCTTCCTACGGTATTGTCTTCGGAGACGATGTAATTTATTGTAATCGACCGCATCGCGACTCTTGGCCCGTAGTGCGTGGCGCGTGCGTCCTCGCGCCCGAGCCATGTGCTGCTTTCCTTGTTTTTCTCGATGACGCGTGGATCGCGCAACGAGACGCCAAGATGCAAGACGAGCAGGCAGAACTGGCGAAGGTGAAGGGTCGCGATGAAACGTCCAAGAGAGGACGTGGAGTGGAGCAGTGGAGCTCGTAGTGTGCCGGGAGTGAATAAACAGTCGCGATTCCGGAGGCAGAATGTACACAAAGTTCGAGCTGCTTCAGGGCATCGTCAGCTACCTCCTCGTATCAGGTGCAAAAGCTGACTAACCTCGTCCGCCAATGAGCCCCCCGTCACTTTCACTCCTTTTTATGGACGCGCAGTGAGCAGCTAAATTGCGCGAGAAGGCAATAGGTTTGAGACTCGTCGAGCCTACGTGATTCATGCGGTTTGCCCGTCCGAGCTCGAAACTGCAGGGCATCGTCCCTCTTCGTCTTTCAACCCCTGTAATTCCATTCGTTCTCACGCTCCTTCCTCGCCGTCCTGTCGTTCCGCCTCTCCGTTACATGCTTTTCCCCCTCTCCTTCCGCTTGGCCCGTACTCGCTCTGCTTCCACTCTTCGTTTCCGTCTCTCTCTCTCTCTCTCTCTCCCATTTCTATTTCTATGCTGTGCCTACGTGCCTATACCTTCTGGGTGCGTGCGTGCGTGCGTGCGTGTAGCAGCACATTGCGTACCATTGTTTACTCAATAGCGTTGAGACAGAGTGTACTCGTAGCTCATTGAATTTCTAAAGGAACGTACAGCCGATCTGCGCATGCGCGTCGCCTGCTCGAACGTTGTCGTCGTTTCCTATATCGTCCAATTGACGGGGCCCGATGACGCTCGGGTTCGCGTGTCTCTCTCGTCCTCTTTTTTAATTCCCTAGGGGAAGTTTGCGCGTCCCCCTTGCTCGGCTACTTTCGACTGGATTCGGCGTTCTTCGGGTCAGTACTGTTTGAACGACCGAAATTGCCGGTTGGGTCGCTACGTAATTGCTGCTCGCGACGTAACCTGCTGCCTGCCTCCTTGGCTCGCTTAGACTTACATACATTAGTAGCTTCGTACTTCCTTGCTCGGCTCTGTCCTGAAATCGTCAATTGGACAGGCAAGCCAAATTATTTGTCTCTTGTCTCTCTGCATTGATGTTGGAGTAACGTGTAATCTTATGGAAACCTCCCGTTATCGTACCTTATCATATGTTTCTCTTTGGCCTGTTTCAGAAAGAGAGAGGCACCCGTCCAACAGGCTGTCTGCGTAAGTATATGCACCACGTCTAACATTTTCTATCGGTCCTTCCCTCCCCCCTTCTTATCACTGTTACACCTCGAATCATTATCATTACTTTCACCATTAAGCGTCGATGGAAACTTCTTTTGCACGAAATTTCGGCCAACGACTAATCAACCTGCCGAAGTTAAAATTAATTATACATTCCGACACGAGCCAAAGTTCCCTTGGTAATTTGGCGATTGCTCCCGACCGTGATTAGCTTCGGCTCTCAGCTGGAGCAACAGCCTGATTAACGTTGCTCTATCATCTCGGTCATTTGGATTTGCAAAGACGAGCGGCGGGAACGTTCAGGAAGCTGAATCATTTAATTATCCTTTTATTCTCTCGACTTCTCTTATTCCAACTCTCGTCGCACTTCCGGCTTCGCAATCATAGAGTCCGTTTCTTCGTTTCGTTGGTTTCCCAGCGAACGAGCGTTGCTGCGTTATCGTCTGGTCCTCTTATCTACGAAGTTCTGCGAAAGATCGTTAAAATTTCGTCGCTCGTGATTTTGTGAATTGAGCAAACGAGAGCGGCGTGCCTCGGACGTTGGGCAGGGGAAAAAAGTTAGGAAGCAAAAAGTGGAGCCTGAGCGAGCCGGAAGTCTGAAATTTAGGAAGCCAGAAGGGAGTCCGTGGCTTCGCTGGCTCTTCGAACCCTGGAAATATAAGGAAGACGGAGAAGCGTCGCCGACAGTTCCGGTTCCCAATGTGTTTCGGTAAGTCGGCACGAGACGAGACGTTCCTGGTAATTTGGACCAAGAGACAAATGAACGAGCTCACTAGGCCGCAGGCCTTCTCTCAGGCCTCCTCTTCCGCAGCCCTTCACCAGCCTCTACGTCCTCTCAGCTACCCTTAGTAATCGCGGGCAGTTCCTCTGTCCCTTTTGCCCAACCGGGGAACTAGGCCGCATCGGCGGCGCTTATCGACGCGAGCGACATTGTTCCCTCTTGTCCCCCCCCTCCTCCTCCTCCTTTTCGATTAACGCGCAGGCCACGTTTCCAAGGAAAATACGCAATAGACACGCGACTTTAAACCGAGGCCGGTCCCGTGAGCAGCTGGGGTGCTGGGGTTTCCGGCAGGGAAACCCTTCTTGTGGAATCGCAAGGGCAACTCGGTCAAAGCGGAAGAGGAGTCGCGCAATGGGAGGAGGGAGCACTGGCTACTTCCGAGGGAATAAATAGTCTTTTCGCTGCCCTCAAGCCTAACGATTCCATCGGTCTCCCTGTCACGAGCATGCCCACCCACTCCCACCCACTCCCTGGCTACAGGATCAAACTGTGCATCGATCTTCCGCAATTAATCACCGAATTGCGCTCGTCGATGCCAGAACTCTGCGCGATTAACGATTAACGATTACCGGCTAGCGGCTGGCGGCTACTTGCCACTCGATGCTGGCTGTTGCTCTCTCGTTATCAGTCACTGCCGCAGGGAGGCCTCAGCTGACGTCAAGTGGCCTTGCTCGGTCTGATAACAGTAAGCTTAGCCATTCCGATAACAACTCGCCTGACGTCGATTGGCCTCTCGATGCGACGACACGTCGCTCCGATCCGACCAAGCGTCGTTTCCGGCGCCTCCTGTCGCTCGGCTCTTCGAAGTTTCTACGTTTCGCGGAATTCCGTCTGCGTCGATCTGGGTACGGAATTGACCCGAAGTAGCGTAAACTGGGGATCGGGAGTCAACGAAGAAGCATCACCACCCCCACTGGCAAGCGATTCCAGACCCCCCCGGGTCTTCTGCAACCCTTAGATTTGTAACCACCGAGTCGAGTGCCCTTCTCGCCCTCTACGTTTCCTATTTACTCTCATCCTCTTCACTCTCCCCTTGCTCTCTTCCTCTCTCTTCAGGAGTATCACTTGGCTCCCTGAGGCTTCGCTTCTAATTACAAGACAACCTGGCCCCCCGAGTGCCTTGCCCCGAAGAGTCACGACTCTCGAGGACGCGTTCTGCCGTCTCCCAGCTCAGGCCGACCGACGCCGAGGACGCGGAAGGGAGTCCCGGGGTCTCCCGTCTTCCGTGGCTCTGGCGTCCTGGCTCGTGTCCCGCGCCCTGGACAACATTTCCCCTGGGCGTTGGAATCGGGCAGCCCGGGCTGGGATCGCGAGTCTCGTTACAGCTCAGAGAACACGCCAGGAAATGTTTCCTCGTTCAGTCCGGCAAACAGGTTTCCTCCGCTCTGCGACTAGAATATCGCGGCGGTCTGGATTTTTCTGGGCCGCCCAAGCGCCGTTTCTTCTATGGCCATTTCAATCGACGCGGACGCCCCGACGCCGCTCTTCCTGGTCGCTCGCTAAAGAGTCCCGGATATCCAGGAGTCACGGCTTCCATCCCGAATCCTCCACGAGAGGATTTCCACGTATCGCGGCCCGCAAACCATCTTCAGACCATATCGGCTCTTCTTCCTGGTCCTCCTACCCCGAGCTCTCACGGACATTCTCTGGACTTTCACTTAGCGGCCTATCGATTCACGCGGGCACAGAGCTGGACCGTTAAATTTCGGGAAATCCAGTGACGTGCGCTCCGTTGTCGTGCTTCGTGGGAAGCGGTCAGTCGGTTCGGCACTGTCGGCAACAAGGCAGATCCGGCGATCCAGCGATCCAGCGATCCAGCGATCCAGCAATGCAGAGGGAGGTATAGGGCACGTAGTACCGAGGTCGATGTCCGCTATCCTCTACTCTGCGTTACGTGCAGCGTAGTTCCTCTGCTCTGCTCGGTTCTACTCTCTTTTACTCTCTTCCGCTCTCCTCCATTCTCTTCCATTCTCTTCTGTTCTATTCCGTTCCGCTCCACTCGACTCCACTCGGCTCCACTCGAGTCCTGATACGAGAAGCGGCGTCTCCTTCTCCGCGTTCGCAAGTCGCGGCTCCATCCGAGAGCGCAGTGGCTCCACGGATGCGAATCTGAAATCCTTGCGTGTCCTCCTAATAACCGCGAACCTCTTCAGCTGCCATTTTGTGCGCGACTCCTGCTCAAAGACGCTCCTGGACAGAGAAAAGGAAGAATCATATTGCGCCACGAGGAGTTTCCATGGGAGCGATCTCGACTGCCCCTGCCGCCTGCCCCATCATCCTGATCCATCCGTCTCATTCGCCCGATCCGACACGTGTCTCCTCTCTCGATCGGCTATTTTTTCTCTTACAAACGCATCTATTGTTTCTTTGCCACAGGGACTTGGAGCGCGACCTGAGCCTTTCCGAGGACAGCGAGGATGAGGAGGGAGCCAAGGTACCTTCGGCCTTAGAGAAAAGAGTCCTCGGGACTTGCCGAGTCGTTCGATGTAAACGACGAGGCGATTAGCAGGGCGATTAGAGTCTCGCTAACCGCGAGTGGTCCAGCCCGACCAGTCGGTTGCCCGGCATTACGTAACACGGGTATCTTGCAAACTTAGCAGAGGACTCTCGGATGTCTCCGGAGTCTCGGTCTATGGTGTCCTGCTATCGCATCGATCGCCGCATCTTACGCATTAACTAGATCGATCGTGAATATTATGAAATCGGAAATTTGACAATGACGTCATTGTTCGCAGGTTGCGTCACCGAGAGCCTCGAGGAACGCGAGAAGTCCGGACCTTATGGTCGAGTAAGTATTCGCAGTCTGCCTTCTCTCAATAATTATCCTCCACTGATTGTGCGGGACGATGACCAATGGTCGGTTCCTTCAACTCCGGATAATTTATGTCTAACGGGTAGCTATTTTCAATTCTGATTGAGATTAGCTTCCGGGTAAAGTTATCGGGGGACTTATCCAGGGGCGAAGAAAAACCGGCCATAAGTGATGCTTCCTGATCTCCTGGAGATTCTCCTCTGTTCAGGTGTTGGATGACCGATTTTGGTTTCAACTGTACTTAGTTTGTTTTTCTTCGTTTTTCAGCCTTTCGACGCCGCTGATACCGGCCATGACACCCGCTCCACCACCTCTAGCTCCTATGTCGCCGATGGGAATGTCGCCCGTTGGTCCTCTCTCGTCCCCGAGACCTCTGAGTCCTCCTCGAGTATCCTCCCCGACGAAGGAACCAAGCGCGACGGGCGCACTCTCGCCGTCACCGGTGCCGCCAATGCCACAGAGTCCTCTCGACAAGTCAGAAAAGCTCTCGGAACTTTCACCCTTACCGACGGACCAGAGGCCGCCGAGTCCTCCCGTGGAAGCGATGCACCAGAGTTCAGTTAGCGCAAGTTCCAGCTCCGATTCCGGATCGGACTCTGGCTCGGATAGCAGCGACGACTCTGAGGACGAGGTAGCACAACCTCCGCCTAAGGGACCATCAACGCCGCCTTCGGTGTCTCCGTCGGCACCTGCCGAGGAAGCTCCGCCAGCCGTCGAGGAATCGAAACTCCGCTGGAACCTCAGTTCGTTTTTCACGAAACCTCCGCCGCAGCAAGGCGATCAGAATGCTGAAAATAAATCTTCACAGGTATCTATCGGATTCGGTTACGAAGAGAAGGTTGAGTGGGTAACCAAATTCGGAAATTCTATATATACACTCAACGCCAACGATTATACGGGATGGGCTTTGATGTCAGGATAATTATTAAAGTTCAAGCTGATCCTTAATTGTATAATTTAAATATGTTTTTTCGGTATTTTCAATAGGACGATGTGCGAGGAGACGGATCACCGAGTGCTGTGTCCTCGGAAACGAGATCTCATCATCGGGATGCTGGACACTCTGGACATTCGGGTCACACGGGGCACGATTGGAAACTCGATGAAGCTCTCAAGAGAACGCACAATTCGGCTATGCTGAGTCTCTTGAGTGACAGCGATCATCATTCCGAATCTGATAAGAGGCAGAGCGTCATCGAGGAGGCTCGTCAACAGACGGAGAAGATTAAGCCTCCGGATGCCAAGAAGAGAGGACGACCGCGTAAACCTACCAAGAGTCCAAAAAGCCATCGGAACTTTGACGACGGTGGTGGAAAGAACAAACGAAGCAGCAGGACGCGCATTAATAATAGTCCAAAAAAGAAGCCGATCTCAAAGCCGACGGTTTCTACTAGCGAGGACGCTAGCGATGCTCAATCGCAGGATGCTTCCAGCGATTCCGACAGCGAGCGTCCAAGTCCACTGAGACATTCAACAGCCTCCCCAGTGTCCCGGAGTGTCAGTGACAAGTGTCGGCCACGGCTGAGTGTCTCCTCGAGCGAGGACGAGGGACCTCCGAGCAAGCACAATGTCCCGGAGGATGTTTCTTGGACGAGGTTGTCGATTAAGAGAAATAAGCTCGCTGAACAGTCGGCAAAGAAGGCCGAGAAAAAGAAAGCTTCGACGAAAACAAAATCCAGGAGGTCGAGACCAAGACTTCCTAGTGCACCTGCCGGTCCCTCGGATTCCGACAGCGAGACCGAAGCGGCCCCAATTAATACTCGTATTCAGGTCGCAAGGGTGCCACCCAGGCCAAGACCTCCTCCCAACAGGACCACGTCACCCGACAATTCTGATAGCGACAATAGTCCAGCCCCGAAGCTCCAGGAGGAAGGAGGAAATGTACAGGACAAGAAGAAGAGTGATACGTTGCGTAAACTCTTTTACGTGAACAAGGGCGGAGCAAAGTGTGGAGGGAAGGGTGCAAAAGGTGGTGGCAAAGTCGGCGGGAAATGCGGAATCTACGTGGAGGAATACACATCAGCTTCGATCCTTACGGGCGGCGAGAGTCCGTACAAGAGGCCCTCCTCGCAGATGTCGATTCCGCCGTTAAGATACGTAAATGGTATTCCGAGTATTATGTGCCGACTGGATCTCAGTCGACTCTCCCACGTGCCCCAGCCATCGCGCGGTCAAGAATTGAGGCAACACACTGAGCTGCCGGACACCAGGCCGTCCTCGAGGCAGGCTGCCATTCTGGCCCCGCCACGACCATCAACCCCTGAGGAGGGCGAAATTGTCGACACTCCTCTGCCTTCGAAAATACGGACTCATAGTGAGAATAGTAATGCCCTTGAGGGCGAGATTCCCGTTAAAATTCGGGGCATTAAAGCCGAACCGATCTCGGACACGAAGAACTTGTTAGGTGGAATCGGTGCTCACAGTGGCGGCGGTAGTGGTTTCGTTGGTCCTGTTTCTGGTATAGCTAGTGCTAGTACTCTTAACGGAAATCCCAGTGCCAGTGCCAGTGGTACCAGTGGTGCTAATGGCAGCAGTACTGGTGCTACTGCCAGTAGCAGTACTGTCGGCGGCGGTAACAGTGGAAGTGCGCGCAAACGGAAACGCAATCTGAGTTGTAGTTCTGTGTCTAGCTTGAGTACCGTATGTTCCGTGGACTCGAAGGCGAAACAGGGTTCCTCCGAGCACAAGGAGAAAAAGAAGAGGAAACGGAAGCATGCCGATGCCGAATCCCTCACGCCGAGGCCTTCTTCCAGTCAGGTGAGAAAAAACATTTACAAATAACCTATTTACTCAAAAAAAAAAAAAAAAAAAAAAAAAAAAAAAAAAAAAAAAAAAAAAAAAAAAAAAAAAACAACAGCAAGTCATTTCTACAATTCCATATTCCCACTTCGTAACATAAATTAACGTCACCTCAATTCAACTTCTTAATCGCCGGCAGAGTGACGTTCAGCCTACGAATCACGAGCGGGAAGACAATGCGGACACGAGCCTTCTTCCGCCACCGCCGCCACCTCACCGTATTTATTATTCTTACTTCAACCCGCAGAACGAGATTGTCGAGGACCAGGATAGGTAAGTATCGACGTCAGATAGAATGAAAGGCAGTTTTCGAAATTGATTGGTAATCAAGGAATCGTTGGGATACCAGGGACCAGCATCAGTACCTGACGGAAGCTAAACGACTAAAACATAAGGCCGACGAGGAGTGCGACCTGACGGCCCAAGGAATGCTTTATCTCGAGGCTGTACTCTACTTCCTGTTGACCGGCCACGCGATGGAATCCGATCCGTTGACCGAGCGGGCCTCCTTCACCATGTATAAAGACACTTTAAGTCTTATCAAGTGAGTTCCTCTTAGAATCGTGAAATTATACTCGATAATTTGGTTACTACAAGGTACTAATAGCCTCTCTCCTCGCTTTCAGGTATATCTCCTCCAAGTTCAAAAGTCAACAGAACAATTCCCCCGAGAGCAGTATACACAATAAGTTGGCTATTTTGAGGTAGGTATCAACTTAATCCTGGTGACTTTGGAATCTTTTAACAAGATCGAAGCCAGTGAGTTATGAATTTGAACCCATGTATTTTTTTAGCCTATGGTGCCAGTCCCTCATATACTTGAAGCTCTTCAAGATGCGCAAACATGAAGTCAAAGATTATCAAAAACTCCTAGCTGATTATTATCAAAAGGTAATTCATCCTGCTTTAAGAAAAGTGCAAAAAGGATTGAGCATCACTCTTGTCTTTGACTTACAGCTAACTCAGGCATCTTTCGTCCAGCCCGAAGGACAAGGGACGCCATCGCCTTTGTCCCCGACTCCCTCGCCAGCTGGCTCTGTTGGTTCTGTCGGAAGTCAAAGCTCTGGCTACAGCAGCGGCGAGCTGGCTAATCGAGGTGCAGCTGGACAACCTCAGGGTCCTCCTTGCTTAAACGTACCCCTCAGCGTGCACCACGCAATGCAGAAGCAAAATCATCACTTTGGTCTGTTGATGAATTGCCACGAACTCTGGGACCAAGCTAATGCTCTGGTCACGGATAAGCATAGAGGTAATAAATCTGAAAGCCATCCTAATGAAAGTAGAAAAGGGTATCGATGATTAACGCTGATCTTTTTGCAGATTTCTTTATCGAGCTGGACGAAAGGATAGGTCCGCTCACATTGAAGAGCTCGCTGCGGGATTTAGTTCGCTACGTTCAGGCTGGGATAAAGAAGTTGCGAGCCCTCTGACCTCAGTGGCACAGCCCCCGACCACCCACGCCCAATTACATCACATCTCTCCCTCACAACATGGCCACGTATCCGACCATGTTCACGTAGCTACGAGTTAACGGCGTAATGCCGCGAAGAACAGGGTGAAACGAACGGGGGAAAAGGAGGAAAGAGCAGAAAGAATAGCAGGATCAGAGAGAAGGAAAGTGAAATTGCTTTGGAACGAATGATGCGGAAAGTGACGAGGAAGAGTGAAACCGATGAAAAAGTAACGAAGTTCTTAAAGAGACTTCAGGCAGGCACAATTAGGATCAAGGTTTTTTCGCCAAGCGAAACGTACAAGGTGTGGCGCTAATACAATATGGACTGGTTACCGACAACGTTGAAACAGGTCTGCATTTAGAATTATGATTAGAGCGCGTGCATCGGTATGGAATCGCGAGGATTGTATAAATTCAATTGTCTGCTCTGGGATTACTTATAATTAATAACATTATTATATACAGGGAGTTCCGAAACTACCTGACCCGGTGGGTATGGCGGTGTTCGGGAGGCTTCACTGATCACGAAAATGACCTTCCTCTTGTCCGGAAGCTCTTAGTTTTTAAATGGGAGCAGGTCCAAGTTGACCAATCAGAACAAGGCGTCAAGAGAAACGTAGGCACCTACGAACTCTGAGTTTTCTTCCCTCGCTTTTGTTTCTCGGTGGCTTGTTTCTTGTTTCCAATAGACATGTCTTCGGCTGACCCCATCCTGCCCGAAGCCACCGAGAAACAAAAGCGAGGGAAGAAAACTCAGAGTTCGCAGGTGCCTACGTTTCTCTTGACGCCTTGTTCTGATTGGTCAACTTGGACCTGCTCCCATTTAAAAACTAAGAGCTTCCGGACAAGAGGAAGGTCATTTTCGTGATCAGTGAAGCCTCCCGAACACCGCCATACCCACCGGGTCAGGTAGTTTCGGAACTCCCTGTATATAATAATGTTATTAATTATAAGTAATCCCAGAGCAGACAATTGAATTTATACAATCCTCGCGATTCCATACCGATGCACGCGCTCTAATATCGACGCATGCCGATTCCCGGTGTAGTGTGCTGTTCATCATTGTCGATGGCGATCCGGGTGATTTTTCATTTTTTCTCATCGGTTATTGGTATGTTACAAGAATCCATTGCAATTCGTTTTACTCTACCATCAGTTAACTAACTAACGTGCACAACATAGGTTGACGACCCACCCAGTACAAAATTGTAGTAAATTCTCGTATCCACCGAACGGTGGAAGTTCGTCATCCTTGTTGAAGATTTTTCGAGTCATTATGTATGTACTGTCTTCTTGTGCAAGTAACTAACTGAAGAGCAACAGGAACGTAGATCAATGACCTTTTTCGAATTGCCTGCCTGATAGAGGAATGACGGTCTTCTATCGTACTCGTAACGCGGTATCTTTTGGCTGAGCAGAAAACACACTTGACACACACTTGCAATACATTTTTCGCATCTGCCTGCCCACAATCTTCCATTTAATTCCGCGATTATCAAGATTAATGCAATAATGACTGACACGCAGAGACACCCGTAGGCGGGCCGACACACAAATCACGCAGACGGATACGCGTGTTTCTGTTAAGGATCTTAGAAATCGACTAGACAAGGTATAAAGGAGTAATTTTTCTCTATTTTCTGAGGTGTCCGCTTTTATAAAATGTGCGTAGATACAATAAAGAAGTTAAGAAATAGAAAAGGGCGAAAAGTAAGAGTCAAGTGCCACGGGAGTGCCCGTGCGCTTTCGCATCACGCCGCTGGGCGCATGAAGGTTACCTGTCATATATTTCATGAAATAATTGAAATGCAAGGATACACAACATAATTTAAAGAAAGAATTATATATACATATATATATATATATAGGTATATATATAATTAGGTATACGTATGTATATACATATGTATGTTTTATATATATTGTAAATATGAATAAGGGACGGAGGACTGTACGTAAGCGCTAGGCGAAAGAATCACAGAGCGAGAGAGAGAGAGAGAGAGAGAGAGAGAGAGAGAAATGGTGGTGGGAAGTAAATGAAGAAGGATAAAGCCTCAGTAGAGAAATACGAGCCGTGTAGAGACGCCTGTGTATGCTAAAAGCGATAATAGCAAGTGAATGAGTAGTCGTGATAGTGATGAAGGAAGAATTAAGGAATTTTGTACATGAACGACGAGCTGTGCTCTAGTGTTAATACGAGACAACGCCATTTTGACGGTATCAACTAGACACCAGTAGCATCGACACGACACAAGAACGACAACAACAAAAATACATATTATTTACATTACCTAGAATTTACGGGAAAGTAGTGGTTCTAGAGATGAAAACTATACATAAACAAAAATGCATTAATATGTAAGGCAAAAGTGGGAAGCTACATAATACAGAAGTATATATACACATATATTTATATACATATATGCATACATTAATATGTTCGTATACGTATATATATGTATATATATATACATATATAAAAATATATGAAATAAGTAAAAAGTAAGTTGCTCATGTGTATATTTTTGTAAATAGGTATTGTGAGTGCCGCCGCCTTGTTGAGGGTTGCCTGTCCTCGCGTATGACGGCAGGCTCCGCCCGACCCATTTTTGCTACCACATCTTTACCGAGATACATTTCATTTGTTTTTCTTCTGCTTTCTTTCTTCTCTCTTTCGTTGGTCAGTTGAACTAATTGAAATTGTCGAACAATCGATCGATTTCTCTTTCATTTACTTATTCCTCTATCACACGTCACGCGACTAGTCTTTGCCTTTTGGTTTGTTCGGTCTTCGCATTATTCATTCGTTTGATTTCAGTTTTTTTTTTTTTTTTTTTTTTTTTTTTTTTTTTTTTGGTGTTTTCGTTTCTCTAATGTTTCCTAAAGACACGAACATCCTTTGCTTCTCTTTTGGAAAATCAGACACCGAACGGCAGCGATAGGGATGCGTGACACTCGATGGGGCTTTCAGGAAACCGGAAATTAACTGAAGTTGGCTAGCAAGTAAAAGAAAAAAAAAGAGTAAAATGAATGAACGGGCGCAATGAATAGACAAAGAGTGGCGAAGAGAGAATGGAGCTAATGACAGAAAAACAATTGCGAATCCGATATCGGATAGAGAGTTGGTGGGCGAGGTGACCCTAAAGTAACTAGTGCGGTCCAATGGTTCATGGGATACAATTTTATATCGATGAAAATGGTAAGGGGTAAATTTGTGAAACATTTAAAGAGGGGGATAAGGAGAGAGAGAGAGAGAAAGAGAAACGAGGTTAAGATGAAAGAAGTTTAAAGTGTAAAAATATAGCGGAAAAAAAAAAGATGAAAAGTTATTACAAAAAATTCCGATATTTTCAAGATACATATTTATAAGCTATACGTATATCAGGTCCTTATCCCACCAGCTCGAAATATTCCTGGCAGCGCATTGGGATTTAGTGACGCGGATGTGTTGCTCCTAAGTGACTGATACGCATTCTCAGTTTTCTCATCGACATCCTTTGGCTAATCGTAGAAAAGGGTAGCTCTACCCGAGGCCCCGTCCTTCTCTGCGAGTGCCATCTAGTGAAACTCCGAATGAGCCAACGGAAGGAACGGCAAGACGATAGTATTTTAATGTTTACGAGGGAGAAAGAATGTTTAATGGGACTGGTTACTTGAAACAAGTGAAGAGAGAGAGAGAGAGAGAGAGAGAGAGAGAGAGAGAGAGAGTGAGTAAACAAGAGTGATGATCCCGACCATTTTGCATGGCATTTTTTAATCGGCAGCACTTCATAACTCTTAGTGTATCCCACGGGCCTGATTCGATCCTCGGATCTTCCAGATCCAGAATAAAATTCTTAAAATTTTGCACTCAATTTCTGCCCCTTTCATCAACTATATTCTTCTTGGTCTGTTCTATCGTAACCGTACTATGCTATTCATACTCGGAATTGTAGTCACGAAGGGGGGAAGGAGGGAGGAGGGATAGACACGGACACAAATGAAAATGATATCCTATATTATATTATATTCTATGATTATATATATATATATATATATATATATATTAATGTGTATTATTTTTATTATTATTTTGATCATCATTATGACTATTATTATTAATATTATTATTGCTGCTATTATTATTATTTGTATTATTATTATTATCGGTATAGATAAAATATTACATCATTTGTCCCTGAAGAGTGTTCACCGAAGCTAAAATCGCTCGCGACTGTGCCAATCGGTTGGGCAAAATACTCCTGCGAAACTTTTATTCCCGCGCGCCGCTCTTCTACTCGTTTTCTGCCGAGCATCTTCGTATCGTTCGCATCTTCATTCTTATCAGGATTACCTCACTTTTCTTTTTCTCCTACCGTCTGGACCTCTCATCCTTCGATACTCGGAGATCTGTTTCCTGTTAGTCCGTTGGCATCCTGATTTCCCGAGGGAAGGTGGTGAGTCGGTTTGGCGGAATTTTTGGGAAACCAAGCAAAAGCACGTCGCGCTTCTTCTTCAGCTTCGAGATCACGAGAGGGGGGAGGATCAGAGGGACGACCGGGCGGGGAAAAAGGCGAGAGTACTGAATACAGAATTGAAGAGAATGATTAACGTGAGAAGGGAGCGCGAGTGAAGTGTCAAGCGGGAGATTGGCCTGCGAGTCGACTGCTGCACGAGTAAGTGCCACGTGCACGGGGCTTCTAGAAGGTTCCCGAAGGGTCGAAGCTTCTCGATTGGTATTATAATTTGCGGCGTAAGACGTACATACCTCAGCGTGAGGAATCGGACAGGATCCACGTTTTACTCGCGAGACACGAAACGCACATTCGAGGGATGGACAAAGGGAGCGAAAGATTAAGGGAGAAGGTGAAGGCTGGAACTGTTGGCCTCGTGCTAATAAAGCCCAAGGGAAAGTAGAGGGTTGCACGGCTCGAAGGTCGAAACTCTAATGATGGCAGAGAAAGAGAAAGATTTGAAATTGTAGGCTAGAGTCGGCCGAATGGGGAGGATCGAGGAAAATGAAATATGAAGGAAAAAAGAAAAAGAGAAAGTCAATTGCAAAGGAACACATGAAAGAGCAACCGCACCAAGGAGAGACCAAACTCGCTTAACGAAAAACATTATCTACTCGCTTTTTATTTATTTAATTATTATTCTATTGATAAGATTATTGTATTGATTATTATTATTATTATTATTATTATTATTATTATTATTATTATTATTATTATTATTATTATTATTATTATTATTATTATTATTATTATTATTATTATTATTATTATTATTATTATTATTATTATTATTATTATTATTATTATTATTATTATTATTATTATTATTATTATTATTATTATTATTATCGTCATGATCATTATATTATTATTATTAATTATATTAATTATTATATTTATTGGTGTGGAGGCTGAGACACGGCCGAGCCACCGCTCTGATAAATTAAATTGTTGAAACTAATCCATTGTTACTTAACTAATATTGTTCCAGTTGAAAAACGAATAAATCATTGAATAAACGAAAGAACGAGTCAAGGATTTCCCTTTTGCTTCTGAACGTGCAA